TTAAAAAAACAAAAAAGAAAAAAAAGAAAAAAAAACAAACAAAAAACTGGCAACAAGGATCAATTCTTGAAGCTCATTCTGCAAGGATGGAACCAGCCTAATAATTCACAAGGACAGAGCCAGATTCTGGGACAAAATCTTATTAGAAAGAAATAAATGCTTCTACCAATGTATTTTGTTTTCTCACAAGTCTTCTTTCTTTCACTCACAGCCAAATAGAAAGAATCAGTATATAGATTTTTTTTTTGTGTTTTTATTATTATTATTATTATTATTATTATTAATATTACCATCATCTTTTTCCCCCATCATATTCAGTTTTATTTGCATTATTTATATTTTTTTTTGTTTTATTTTTTTAAATTTTCTTTCAAAATAAGGTTTAAAAAAATTCAAGCTTGTATTCTCTCCAGTTCATTTCATGGGAAATAAAGTAAAAAGAAAAAGTTCACTCAATGCAGTAGGAGTATAGAAGTGAATCAGAGTCCCTGCAATATGACTTATTTTGCATCACAGCAAGTGAATAGAAGGTGTTTATGTGTGCAGCCACATATAAAAGTTTATCTGTAGCTGATCATATTTCTTTAAGGAAGCAGAGTCCTAGTCAAGACCAAAAAAAAACAAAAAAACAGCTAATGACAAGTTAACTTGTTACAAATCACACACTTGGCCCTACACAGTGGCAACACACTGTCATCATTTCAGAAAATAGCCAACCTGACAAAGAAAGTGGTTTACTCAACATTGACAATATATTATTAGAATATACAACTCAATAAAAAAAATACATTGCAAGCAAAAATAAAACATATTCTGGTCAAGTAAATAAAAAAAATTAAAATGAAAACCAGATGAATGAATAAAGAGGTAAACACAAAAACAGAAAAGGAATATTGAGTTTCTTTTTAAAAAAAGAAAAAAAAAAGATGAGAACAATATTAAAGAAATGTTCACTTATCAAAATTTTTAAATGGCTGATTGTAGAATTAGTTGCAAATCTGATATATATGTAAAATATGGCAAATGAGTTTGAGTGTATTTGTTGTTCAATAAAGGAGGAAATTTGTGTGAGGGCAGGTAATCTCCCTTAAACATGTTGCATCTGTCCTTTGGTTCAGTAGCTATCATATACAAATGTATTTACAATACACACAACATACACTTTTTACTTCTAGAGTAAAAAGAAAATCCATCCATTTATATTAAATTTAGCATTGGACTATGTGTGTGTTTAGTAAGATCTTGATCTGTGTGTATGTGTGAGGAATAAATGTAAAAGTTTTTTTTTTTTGTAATGATCTTAATTTAATTTCTGAGAATCAAAAAAACAAAAAAATCTTTTAGCAAAAGCAAACTTATTTAATAACAGAAGCTGCTAAATGTAGTCTAAGGTCGTTCAAGATGATTATAGTGGATGGAAAAGTGATTTAAAGATGACCAAAAAAAATATGCTATATGACAAGTGCTTGCAGAGCAAGAATTAGAGTCTGGAATGAGAAAAGGCAATGGAATTTGATAGCAACAATTAACGGGGATAATGAGACAGAACAGGCAGCATCACACAGTGGCACAAGGATTTTGGTAAAGTAATAATAATAATATTAAGAGTAGTTGAACAGCCAATGTTAATACACAGGAACATTTCTATTGCAAAGCTCATCTAATCACAGAAAAATGGCAATTTGACTTGTTTTAAAAACATTTTATGCCTATTTTTAATACAAAATATACATGACATAAATTGTGTAGAGAAGTAGAAAAACTTTAAAGTGAATTAAATATAAAAATGTATACATTTGTGTGTGTGTGTATGTATGTGTATATGCAAAATCCTTTTTTTATCAATCTAATTAGGAGGTTTAAGTTCAATTTTACTAAATATGAATATTTTCTTTAAAAATGCAAACAGCACCAAAATATTACTGTCATAAAATGAAAATTAAGTTCAATATTGATTTCAGTTTTTATATTTTGTCAAAGATAAATATGATACAACTTTTGAGGGAGGTCAAATTTGTATGCTCTTAGCATCATCATCATCATCATCTCAACATGTCAACTAGGAGGTTGGGTTTCTCTTAATAAAGTAGTCATCTTTAGAAAACTGGTGATGGTTAATAAAACAAAAGGAAAAGGTTTATAAGCCAAGAGGAGGTAGAAAAATGAATAAATTTTATTCTGGCTTTTGTTAAAAGTCCAAGATTCTGTTATTTGTGTAAACCAGCATTTAGTCCTTATTTGCCACAAATACAGCACTGGCTGTCTCATTACCAGGACAAACTTATTTTGATATATGCCCTCTATATCAATGATTTGCTCTTGGGACTGCTTGAGCAAAATGCTTATATATAATAATGTAGAACTGTATATAAAGCTATTTTTTTGTATTAAAAGATAAAATAGCCATTTATTTGAAAGTGACAACAATCCTCACTCACTCATTTTCAATTAGTCAAGTAAAAATCCACAAATCAATCAATTTCAATAAAATATGTCTGGA